CACCCACCCACACACACACACACACACACACACACACACGCACACACACACAAACGCACACGCAAACCACTGCGCATGAAAGCTAATTAAACCAATAGATACACCATGAGAAAACACTCTGCAATTGCTTTCTTCCACTTCGTTTCATATTTTGAGACAAATATTTGTTTAAGTGGTGGCTTCTTTTAACAATATTTAAACAATACTCATAGCTTGCTATTACACCTGGTACCTCTACTGAAAATAACTCAGATTCTTCATACTTGTAGTACGTTATACACTACTGTTATTTAGTTTCTTAATAGCATTCTTTTCAGTGCATATTGTACAAGGAATAAATGCTATGCCACTTAGAATTCCTGTAGAGGCAGCAGCACCTTGTGGTGGGGATGCTGCTGCTTCGAAAGGTCCTTATACCTCAGTCTTTGTGGGGTCACTTAGAAGCAGCAACAGCCCCACTACACAGTGCGGCTGCTGCTGCTGACCTTCCATTCTGCTGCATAGTCCCAAGGCGGGCAGCGAACAGTCCCAGAACGTGACAGACAGAGCAGCAGTCGCTGCAGCAGGTGCAGCAGCTGCTGCTCTTGCTGCACCTGATAACAGATCCTTACCGAAAATGCGGAACTCCTTAGAGAATCGCGCTATTCTTAGGCACCAGGGAGCCGCTCTTGCTGTTGGGGTTGGCCCGCCAGACACGGCGTAAGCCTTTGCAAGCGGGAAGGGAATGATTTTACATTCCTTTCCGACCGCATGCACTTAATGAATGACACATGTGACACAATAGTCCCGCTAAGTAAGCGCTGCAGTATAGCATACCATGCTGAAGATGAAGAACTACCCATTCAAGCATAAATCCGAAGCAGTGGAAATGAAGCTTGGGGGGTAGCGGTTAATGGAACGTTCACAACGTGGTAACGAAGCTGTGAGAAAACGTCTGATATTTCCAAGGAATTCTCCAGATTCCGCCTCAGACGGGGCCTCGTATGCTAGACGGAGGAGTCGAGCAGTCGGAAAACCATCGTTTGTCGAAAGCAGAGACACAGCCAGCACTTGATCCGCAGCGCCCTACGGTTATCACTGACTCGAAGACCTTAAAGGGCATCGCTAAAGATGAGCTTTGGTCGTAGCCTTGCAGGCAACCACTTCTGTTCAGATGGGCGACCAAGAGAGTGCTGGATGTAACGTACTCCCTGCGCAAAGTACACTCGCACATGAGTGCATCATGCGTAGCGAGGTAGTGAGGCAAGCTGCAATGAAAGCGAAATATGCCTAAAGGCTGAAACGCTGCAGCAACCAGCAACATCTTAGCCTCCAAGCGGTTACTGCTTGTGCAGACTGCTATGTATTGTAGGAACGGCTCTGAACGGGGTGTGCCGCACCTCGATCTTGTGATCGATGTTGACGTGGGAATGCCCAAAGACATGCACTGAACCTTCGGCCTGCCTCAGCTGCTCGTCGATACGGGTGGAGCCCATCACGTACGCCAGTGCTCCAGGGCTGAGTGGGTAAAGTTTGGCCAGCTCCGCGCGAGGCAAAAAGTGTGAGAAAGTAATGACTACCGTTGAGTTCTCGGAGCAAGTAGACTCCTGCCCACAAGTGCCTTCTGAACCCAAGTCAATCTCAGAATTGGCGGAATAGGAACTACGGTCACTTTCCGACAATGTGGTGTGGCCCGTATTCGATCCTCGTACATGAGCAGCAGCTGCGCCGTCACGCATATCAGAGACGGAAGGTCCAGCTTCAACGTGCTGGAAATTCCGCTCACGTCGGCAGGTATCTCTGCAAGGGCTGTGGGAATTGCTCAAGAAACAGCCCCTGCGTTCATTTTCAGTTGCAAAGAACTCCGACAGGCTCAAAGGCATTCCCCAGGCGTCTGTGAACCGCCGGGGGGCGCAGCTGGGTAACACCGCATCCGGCATGTCCCTTGCCTTCTCGCCACAGCACTTGCGATGAAACGGCTTGCAAGAGACGTCAGCTGCCCAATCTGACCCACCAGGTAGGCCAGTTGCCTCCTTCCGTCCAAAAGCATCAACTGCTGCAGTGCCAGATAAGGAGGCAGTAGGAACACCGGACCTACTCGTGAAGTTGCACGTGCATCGCCGGTTCTTGCCAAGACTCATCCCGTTGAACCGTCTGAACTGCGTTGCCTCGGCCTCACTTCTTCCGAAAATGCTACACTCAGTGCTCAGGCGGGCAGTCGACTTGGGGTCATTGTTGCTGAGCGGGAGTGGCCACCTGCAGGCGGTGTAGTCCATCCAGTTTTCAGCTAGAGATAGCAAGAGCTTAGAGCTAATACCCCGGTTGCTATCAGAAGGAGAAATGCCATGACTTACTTTCCCGGAATACGACTGATTTGTGCGTGGAGCCACCGTCTGGGGATGATGTGTATGCAAGGCTACACGACGGAAGTGGGGGTCTAATTCGTCGTACCAGGAGAAAAGGGGGACTAGGCGTACACTCCTAGAAGGGGAAAATGGGCTAGTGTGGACACCCAAGGATTCGCACAGCCGCAAAATGCTGTCAAACTTCTGTAAGCTGTCGGTTATACCTGCAAAAAAAAACTGAAAACGGGAAGTTCCTTAGACTAGACAACATAGCCATTCGTTAGCGATAACATCAATTTCACTGTCTTCGCAGCTTTGCCAGGTAAACTCAAGAGGAACAGGGGGGAACTGGTTTTCAGCACGCATCAGTCTGTCATCCTGGGAACCAGGTGGTGAACAGGACAGAGACAACCAACCACAGCTCTCTCTATTAAGATCGTGGAATCTCTTATTCTGATCGGAGTTCCTGCTTACCCAAATATCTGTCTTTGTGAGTTACCCAAAGTTCGTGATTTCCTGGTACAAAGGCTACATGGCCAAAAACTGAGCCGAAAAGTTTAAGGGAATCTTTTAAACCATCTAGCTCGTGGTGCACATCTCCGGCAAGAATAAGTACATCATCGGCAAAGTCCTCGTTGAGTGGTGAGGATGCTCCTGTGACCACTTCCCACAGCTTTCCTATGTTGCCCGCCAGGGTACCAGAAAGTGGAGACCATAGTGGCGCTTCCGCTCCAGCCCTGGCCTCAGTAGAGGAGCCTGGCTCGCCATTGTCATATTCATTTGCTCTTGAGGTGCTATGGCAGGTACTGCTCCCATTTTCTGAAGACTCGGGGCGTTTCTTGTTCAACTGGCAAAATTCTTTGACAAGCTCAAGGTTCACTTTGCTTTCAAGGTGGAGGTCGGACCAAGCGAAAATACGCATTTTCGTCGGATAGCAGGGAGTGAAGGGGGATATTTCGTCGGCAAGATCTCAGCAGATCTTCACGCCTGGCAACGCTCGGATCGACACGCCTTCACCCGTCAGCCGTCCGTAGGTCCCAGCTGGTGAGAGCTTCGCGAAAATCCCTAATGACAAGAACAGTTATTATGAAGAGAGAGAAACAGAAATTATTTGAGCCTATAGTCGAGTGCTGCATGCTGTTACGGCATGCAATGTCTTGCGACCAGCAACGCCGTCGCGTTGAAATGCGTATGGGTTTTTTACCGGCCTTCTCTCCCACAACCCGTGAAAAGGCCTTAAAATCCCCTTGTTTCTTCACCACTGTTCACATTTTAAATGTGATTCTCCCTTCCTGCCAGCACATGCTTGCAACGCAGCGACGTCAGGTAGCAGTTGCCAGCAAGGCTTTTGAAAGTCCTGAGGGCAGTGGAGCGCTTAGAGAAGTATCTATGTGTGACCTTTAGCTGCTTCACTGGAAGCAACATCCCAAGGCCTCCACGTTTGTGAAAATGTGACAAATCATATGGTACTTGTGTTTGCAAGTGGGTTGTCACCGCAGGCTGGTCGCGCCGCCGACCCCCCGCCGACCACTCCACGGTGACCAGCCCCATCTATTACGCCTCCAAACCCTCCCTACCGTTTCCATCTACAGATCGCCCACCTTCTATTGAAAATCTGATTTAGACGGTAGCTTACTAAACAAAAGAATTAAAAAACTGCAATTTCAGTCGACAGGAATGCGGGTAGCAATTTTTTTCAAAGGGTGGTATTGAAGCTAGACTGGATTTTTCTGGATGAGTCGCAGTGAAGTTCATGCATTTTCTGAATAATATCTGTTTGGACAGTCCCTTAGCAAGGAATGGGAGCAGTGCTGACTGAACCCAACCTGGCGGTGCATGCTCGATTGACTTCGCCGGGTGAGACATACATCCGTGGGTTCAATCCCCACGCAGCTAGTGCTGTATATCCCTGCAGATCTATCGGCATCCGTGTCCATATTGGCTACTGGAAAGGAAACCAATTTTTGCATTTGTCTACGGCTTTTGATGATGAGTTGGAAAGGGGCCATGGCTGTGCTTGCTTGTGGAGTTGCCTTGCGGCAGGAGAGGCAGCACTTCTTGCTGAGGGGGCGCTGGTCATGACAAGCTCCTTCGCTAGTCACGAGCTCCATGACACTGGGCCAATGCGCTTAGGGCGTCTGGAGACAGGATATTAGATGCGCTGCTTTGGCGTAACTTACCAGTAGTTCTTTATTGCAGCTCACGACGGTCCACGGCTGAAGTACAGGAATCTCATTCATCTTGGTAGCAATGCGTGGCTACGCAGGGCGAACCGTGAGACTAAACACCACCCCGAAACAGGGTTTCCTGACGTACAGCACTGCTAAGTTGTGAAGCTGCTTCCCCTAACAAAACCATTACAATCTCGCGGCAATCTCTGTCAAAAATTCAGGCTTCTCCCCACTGAAAAAGTGGAGACTAGTGAAAACGTATTATATGGAGGGGGAGCAACCAATACATCGGTCCCTCATCGCGCTCATATGAGAGCTCTCTACGCAGTATATCCAATAGGAAGTGCTTTTACTGCAAAACTAGCTGTAGAAGCTACTTTTGCAGTAAAAGCACTTCCTACTTTACAAACGAAAACCTCCTTTGCCAAATGCTCAGATATGAAGGCCGCTTTCAGACCAACAAAGGAACTCCTGACTTCAATAGAGGCATGTTTTCGTCTTTTTAAAAATGCATTGAAAGGACTACAACGGCTAGTGGGAGATTTGTTGTCAGAAGTGGAGACACGACAATGATAGTTCTACCAGACTATGGGTACTTTAAGTCTGAAGCGCATCTAGGAGGCTAGTGATAACCGGAAAGTCGCGAACCCCTTCGGAGGCAGGCCGTCGGACTGAATGTGTCAACTGCACGCATTGCAGTATTTACGGCCATATATCGGACAAAATTAACCGAAGCGGCTTGATTCCCTCCCTTGGTCGGAATGGGATTGTATAACAACACACGCCTCGACCTGATGCTCACAGGCGCCCCTGGTTTACAGCGGACGCGTTTGGTCAGCCCAGTTTCTCCTCAGTGGAAAACTTCCATGGATAGCTTGCAGCCACTTGGCAATGCATGAAGGAATTCACGAGCACAAAACAGCAAACGATGAAAAGAGAAACACGGCGGCTAGGCGTTTACTTGTTACCCTGGCGGGCTATCCTCAGCGGAACTGGAAGGACGCAGAAGTAACGCCATTCCGTTAAAGTAGCCGTGCACTCGATAGAGTGGCTTGCTGTTAGCTCTGCCTGAGTTCAATAAACCCCTCTTCTTCACAACCGCTGTCAGTGACGCAGCGGATGGGGAGACGCTCGATTGCCAAGCCTAAGACAGAAAAATCCCGAAATAGTCACCCGTTCCTCATACCGTTTCACGAAAGGAGTAGGAGCGCCTGATACTGTAGACGGAGGTGCATGCGGTCTGTGTGGGAATAAAGAAGCATCAAAATTGCATTGATGTTCGGAACAATCACACCAGGAGGAGAGTTCTGAAGATTTCGTCAATGAAAGGGTTGTAGAAACGGCAGCGGTAATCACAGCAATGACACCAATGACAACAAGATTTGCATTGGCAGTAGCAGCAATAACGACGGCAGCACCAAAGCCAGCAGCCGCAGGAGCAGAAGGGGCAGCAAAGACAGCAGCAGAACCTGCAAACTGAGGCTGCGGAACTTCAGGAGCAAGAGCTGTGTCAGAAAAAAACTGCTGGAGCAGCAAAAACAAACACGCTGCAGCAGCAGAGAGGCAAGGCCTCCCCTTCCGGTCGGTGGGAGAGGTGGGCAACATATGTACAGTAGTCCCCCTGAAGTTACTACGAATACTTCTACTGTCGTATATACTGGATACTGAAGGTCAAGTAGATGTTCTACAATATCCGATAGTGCCATCTGACACATCACAGGGGCGCTTAGGCACGGTTGCCTGAGGGGCTGCCTATTTATCCTGAGGAGGGAAGGTGGAACAGTTCGCCCACGGGCGTAAGATAGGGGCTTTAAGACACACACAGAATACCAAATGAAACGCAGAAGCCGCAGCTCCATCAGAAGTATCGGGAGCTGCCTCTACTGCTGTTGTTATAGGAAGGCGGTTGCAGCAAGAGCTGTAGGTCTCTAGGAACTGCCCAGCCAGTTTATTGGCTTACTATGCATTTATTTATGCCGCTGTGCTGGTTAAGATAGGAACCGTCGTGCAGAGTACCTTGTGTACCGTCGTCCACGCACCGTACGACAGTAGGCGTCAGCGAGCAGTTTATTTGAGTCTCCGGTTGATGTTTTGCTAGCAATTCTAACACGTGGACGAATAAATGGATAACATGCGCATCCCGCTGATAAACAATGCATGTGCGACTCTTTCGCTGCGTTGTGGTGTCGGTGTCCGCTGCAGGCGCTACCGCATGCACGATCGTCGGCGATCCAGAAGGACGGGAACTTGTTGTGTCTCCTCGAGCTTTTGCGAACGAGCTTTGCTAATACATTCACCTTTGGTTAGAATTAAAGACGTTTTTGCTTGTTGAGAGGAGCCGTGCTTTCGAACAAACGTTTGGTCTTCAGGTCGCCTGCGGTCAATTCCAGTGAAATCTCGGCCTTTCCGGCTTTCAAAGCTCGTCTTTCCATTTTCAGCACGCGAACCTGCATTTCTTGTCCTGCAGGTACTTCTCCAGGCCGGATTTCGGCCAAAGTCTTAGCACGGATCTGGCACAGTTGGCGGCAGTGGTTTCTTGCAGCTTCGTCATTTCTTTAGCTCTCTCTCGGTAAAGAAGGCTGTGAGAGGTACTGCCTCTGTGTAAGTGCCTCCGGCTTGGAAGCCACGCAATATACCCTCCTAAGAAAACCAGCTGCCTCGTGCCATCGCGGGCGGGTGCCGGCCTATCCTGTGCTACGTCGCCACTGCATTCATTTACCTGAGCTACTGAGAGACACCCTTCTATAGAAGGAAGTGCATATCCGCTGTCTTGACTTCGTGACACTGCGCAGAAGCGGTGAACAAGAAACTTTGAGCGGTGAGCAGCCGTGGAGGAAATGGGGCAGATGGATCGTCAAGAAGAAACAACGCCCGGAAACGCCACAACGGCGAAGGAGAAGAAGGACGAAGGGGCGTGTGAACACGAAGAAGATGCGTCTATGACGCCGAATAATGACTCCGCCGCGCCAACACAAGAGGTTTCGGCTGCAGCTCAGGGTAAATGGCCTTTGCTTCTATTCCTCGTTGAGCTTTGGCGCAGAGTGCCCGCGCGCTGCGTTCTCCACTCTTCCTCGTACTCTGATTTTTTTTTTCGTATGGGGATGATCCGTTGCTTTTTTGCAGATTCAACTCCTCCTACCCTCGCCGAACTCGTTGATGTAAACGTAAGACAGCCCGGCCATTTCAGCCGCCGCTCCAGCAACAGCAACAGCACTAACGGAGCCTACGTGGGGAGGTCTTTGATTGTTGCGTGTCTCAGCGTTGACACTGGGTCGCCGTTGAAAACCATAACTGAATGCGCCTTCCACGGAAAGCGCATGCAGAGACGGCTTTGGACACGCATTCCGGCTGGAGTGTGCGTTTGGCAGCCTTTCAGTCTGTGCATTTGGTTGCCTGTCTCTGTGCCTGTCTGTGTGAGTTCATCTACTAATTAGTCCTTGCGTGTTTAGTTGCGTGTGCCCTGGATGGTGGTCAGCTATTAGGACAGATGCAGGAGATGGGTTTTAGCGAGGCGCGGGCTGGACGGGCGCTCCTGGCGATTCGCGGTGGTCCAGCCACATTGGAAGCGGCCTTAGCATGGGTAGAAGAGCACGAAAACGACTCAGATATGGACCTGCCGTTGACTACAGAGGAGTTAGCTGCCTATAAACCATCCAGGAAGACCCCCTTGACACAGGAGGAGGCCCAGCGCCTTGCATACGAACTCCAGAAAAAACTGAGGGAGGTCGGGCCCTGCCTCTTCTTTTCACAGTCTGACGTTTAGGGTTTAGAATTTGTACCTCGGATTTAGACGTTAGGGCTTGTACTCACATGCACACACCACGGGCTAGGCACGAGCTTTGGGCTGACCGCTCAAGGCTTACAGCCCTGCCTGCATCCGTGCTTGCTTGGAGGGGTGGAGAGCTGTCAGGTAGGGCAGGCTGCACAACGGTGTGGGTTGCAGGAACGTCTCAAGAGGGAAAAGCAAGAGGCGATCGAAAAGGAACGGCTCCGCCTGCAGCAAGCTAAGGCCATGCTTGAGCAGCAGGCCAAACTGGAGGAAGAAACGCGGAAGCGTGCTCTAGAACAACTGCAGAGAGAGAAGGAGGTGCTAACAGACATATACACCTATGCATATACATATACATATATATATATATATATATATATATATGGGTATTTTTATATAGACCTGCACATACCTCAATACTCACCTAGGATGTGTATGCATATAGTAATTTCGTTGAAATGGAGGAAGAATTGTAGCTGAACGACTTTTTTATATACTTCAGCGCTCTGCAGTGCTGCTGCTGCATGCAAGTTTGCCGGAGACAAAATGGGGGTGTGCGGTTTTGTGTGGTGCGTGCTTGTATCGTTGTGGGGCTCCGGTGCAGACTGTAGATTTGCGTTTGGCGTTAGATGCTTAGGGTTTAGGATCAAGGGCTTGCTTTGGTCGGTTGTTGCAATTGCTTAGGAGGCCAAGAGGGAACGGGAGCGCCAGAGGGAGCTCTTGCGACAAGACTACAGGGATCGATTTGGCTGCGAGGTTAGTGGTTAGTGGCGGGCTCGTCTGGTTGCAACGGGTAGTAATGGCTTTGCGGCTGTATGCAAACGGCTTGGGTGTTGCCCGGCTGCTGGGAAGGGAGGCTCAGGGGCACCTCAGCGGCGGCGCTTGCAAGGAGTAAATGGAAGGCAGACGCAAGCGTGGCAGAGTTGGTCTGTATGTGGGCTGTGCTGTGCGTAGATGCCTGAAGACCCATCGCAGGCAGACCCTGAGGAGCGGCTTGCGAAGATGAGCGGCAAGGAGAAAGTGGCGTACTACAGCAACGCACTGTTCAAACGTTACAAGAAAGAAGACCCCCAGAAGCTCCTTGTGTGCCTGAATACCCTCCGCCTCTACGCGAACAATGCCAAAGAACATCCCACGGACCCCAAGTACCACCGTATAAGGCAAGCGCGGCCACAGCAGCATCAGCAGCAGCGGCAATAGTATGAAGAGCAGTGAACTATGCTGCTGTCGTCTCTAGGGTCGCCTTCAGTACACCCATGCCCTGCTTGTGGTCCTACCACAGCTTCACCATAGGAGACAATGGGCACGAGTGCCCAATGAAGCCCTGAGGACTGCGGTTCTCGCAGCCCAAACGGTCTCATTAGCACTGTTGATTCAGTGTGATAGCCTTTCGACGATTAAGGGAGATGGGGGAATATAGGATATATATGATTTTGTTCGTTATGCTGGTTTCTACTGCCACAAGCCTGTATTATTCTGCGATCCTGGTGCTGCCTTCGCTGCTGTCGTTGCTTAGGAAGGAGAACGCGGCCTTCAAGGCCCGTGTGTTGGTCTGCGATGGGTCCGTTGAACTTCTCGACGCCTGCGGCTTCAAAGACCAGGGTGAGGCTAACAGAAGGCCGTTGAGTCTATGGGGGGTAACGGTGGTTGGCTGTACTCAGGGCTGGTATGGCCCGCTGGCCCAGGAGCATCCGACAGCCGCACGTTTCATCATATGCTGCTGGTCGGCGCAAGCGCAGGTTGTCCATAGAGTTTAGAAAGGGAGGGGATAGGAGGGTGCGTCGTGAAGTTCATAGTGAGAGGGTCTTCTGCATATCTTTGGGGTTGCAGGCGACGCCCTGGCGATCCAGGGACAGCCAGACGGCTTTGTCTTGGCCCAGGCAATCAAGTTCCTCGATCTGCTCATTGGGCAACTGAGGGGATAAATGGGTTGCTTGCGACTGCTGGCGGCGGCTGGCTCCGTTCAGATGCGGTTAGCTCGGCCTAGCTGCAGCAGCTACCGCCCCACATCCAGCCTTAATTAGCAGCAGAGAGCCATTAACACTAGCGACGTGGAGTTGCGGGGCAGCCGGCTTGCGCGGAGGCACTCAGAAGGCAGTCCGTCGGGGATACTGGCGAGAAGGCCACGGCGCCGGATTCGTGTTGTAGATACTGCGAACTGGGCCCGTATCCAAACGGGAAGAGGGCCTTGAGCTCATGGCGCGGGGTGTAAGGCTAGACTCGTCTGCTCTTATGCCCCAATACGCCAAGCTCCACCCTACCGTCTCCTTCCCCAGACTTAATGCGCTGTGCGCCAAAGTCTATGGCAAGAAGAGGCCGGCCAGGGTGTGTGCTGTGTGCTACCCCCGTGCGCGGGAGTACGCAGTTGGAGTTTGTAGGTTTACAATCGTCGTGGGGTCTTACCCGGCAGTGCGGGGTGAATGCTATCTAGCAGGCTGTTGTATAGCATACAGCTGTATAGCTGAAAAGGGAGAGCTCCTCCCAGCCTCCCCACAAATGCTGCAGCCTGGGTGCAGAACAGTGACATCTCCTTCCCTAGTAGTGCGTCTGCCCTCTTGCCGCAAAGCCCCAGCCTACCCCTAAACCCCCAGAATACAACAAATCCTCTACAGACCTCCACGCACGGGTGCACCCTACGTGAGGATCGCAAAACGCAGGCACACCTGCGGCGTCTCTTTCATGGGGGGTGCTTGCCATTAGTCCTTAAAAATTGAGTATGCGTGCGGAAAGTCACCTTGCTGCGCCTAAGTGCGACTTAGCGTATTTGCTGCCGCAGCAAGTCAGGAGTCTTTTGAAAGCAGTTTATGTGGCGCAGCAAACATGGGGACGGCCCGTATGTAGTGAAGATATCCTCCAGCTCAATTACGATGCCATCGCTGTCAGGCGCCTGCTCAGTGGCTGCTGGGGCTTCGTCAGCCGGTGCGGCCTCCGAAGGGTCGTCTGTAATAGGGCCCCTCACAGCCACAGAGCTACTGGCGGTCCCCGGGTCCATAGGAGCTGCTGCGCTGCCTGCGTTGCGGGGTTTGTGCGCCGGGCTGCTGCTATGCCCTGTAAGCAAGGGGGAAGAAGAACGGGAACGCCCTCTGGCCATTGTTACACTCGGCCGGCGCCGCTTAGGGCCACCGCGCCTGCTAGCTGAAGGCGCGGTAGAAGCTCCTCCATCTGGGCCTTGAAGCCCCTCCTCTAAAGGAGTGTCAAGTGGCGTGGTTGCGGGTGCTGTTGGCGATGCAGCAGGGGCGCTGCTGGAGCCGCTCCCTGCCTGCAGAGACTGCATGTGTGTTGCTGCAGCTTTCGTGCGTGCCGCCGCAGCCAGAACCATGCAGCTGAGTGCGTGGGCGAGTTTGGCCTCGATGTGGGAGGCTACTTCTCTCAGGGCGTCTTCTTCAAACGTAAGCAGCTCCTCAGGTGGCACGCATTCCGCCGCCCCCCCCGAATCCTCGAACAGAATGGGCAGAAACTGCTCCCCAGAGCTACCCAAACAATACTCCTGAACCTCCCCTGTGTCTTGGGGCTGTGCGCATCCCGAATCCCCCCCCGAATGCTCACCCGTCTGCGGCGTCTTGGGCGACACCGCCGCCAACGGTGCATGCGCTGCATACAGCGGAGGTGAAAGCGTCAAAAAACGCAACCTGACAGAGCACGAAATGCACCACAAGGCGCATTCCTAATCTGGTGTTGACAAGGGGCCCCAAAAGGGCATAGTACCTCAATCAGGGTTTCCCCGAAGAGCCTCCCTGCATCGGCTGTCCCTATGTGAGCAGGCCCTCAGCCGTGGTGGCCTGCGGTGAATCCCTTGCCTGGAATGCTTAAATGAAGGGGCAGTGCTGCTCGCTGCCACTACTAGAGCCACACAGAGGTATGTGACTGTTGTCCTAATGGCCACTGGTCGAAAGATATGCACAGCAGCTTTAATGCACCATTAGCAGAATTCGTCACTTGGACAGTCACTCACCATAAATTCACAGGGTTCACGATGCAATTCGCGTGGCGGGGAGGCGGGCGCGCCTGAACTTCGCCGGTCCGATTTCTCTGCAGTGTATGCCACACGCAGAAAAATTAGGCCTTGAGAGGAAGAAAATACCAGGGGAACAAACAGGCACAAAAAACGGGCAAACAATGGCAAGGAAACCAAAGACCTGCATCCCCAGTGACGGCGGCATCACTTTCTAGTCAATAGGTGAAACGCAGCAAGACCAAGCAAAAGTCTTCACGCGAATTCAGAGCTAGGAACGCGACCATGGCAAACAAACAAACAGAAGGAATTACCAAATCGATTATGCGCGGAAAGCGAGGCTGCCAGAGATACGCCTGCATTTCCTGTTCGTCCAGAGCCAGAAGGTGCAAAACATTCCGGCGATCTGCCTGCAGCCTAAGAGCTCCCAAATAATCCTACGAAGACAGCAACAAAACCACAACATAGCTGCGTCTCAACGATACATTTGTGGACTATGGCTCGGGCTGTAACAAACGCGCACCCCGAGCCAATTCTGTGTTGTAAGTCATGCCCACCGGAGCACTGTCTTCCACGTGGGTGGGCTACGAAGCCTTGAATTACGAAGACGAGGACAGAGTATAACGCAAAAATAAAGGCAATCAAAGAGGGAAATTGGTGCATCTTCAGAAGGGGCATGCGGACGCACGGCTCTGTCAATGAGGCCTTCGACAGTTTTGAACTGTTCCGTCAGTTTCTTTTTCTCGACAAGCTCCATGACTTCCGGAGGAGGCGACAGCTGCAGCCAAGAAGAGCTGCAGGCAGCGGCCCCCAGCCACCAGGACGGGCTCATCTGCTCGCGGTACTCCGTATGAAATGAATTGCTGCCTAATAGCCCCCCAAGGCTCAACAGAGGACGAGATACTGGTGTACTGACACGCCGAGTTACAGTCGAGCGCGCAGACGGAGTCCCTGAGCTACTGCGGCCCGTAGCGCCGCCGCGGGCCCCAGGGCCGCTCGTGCTGCTGCTGACCGTGCTGCTGCCTGCGCTGCCGCATCCTCGCCTTAGCCCTACTCCTGCAGACACACACCGCATTGCTCAGCAGCGAAAGGAATAAGCTCTACTTGGGAATAATCGTGAAGGCCTAGCTCGCCAGCCGTCAGCAACTGTGGCCAAGGGCACGGAGGGCCATGGCGGGAGATGCGAATAGAGCACCTCCCCGATGCAGGTAGGGCATACAGCACAAAGTACTGGGTGTCCACCTTATGCCAAGCTACGTCTAAAAGGAAGAGGAACAAACGGGCATAATTCATCATGTGCCCGGTGCTGTGCGCACCAGCACGGCTGTCGGGGGAGAGGCCGCAGTCGGGTCCAAGGCGAGACTGAAGAGGCTTTGGGGGGGTCTTTGGCATTGGAGAAAAGCTCATCATGCCTACTTGGGCAGAATGCGCTCCATCGGGGAGCTTCATTCTTGGGAGCCAAGCCGAGAGGCGGCCGAAGGTAGTGCTATGTGCCCATGGAACGCCTCTTGCAGCATGTGTTGGCCTAATCCGGAGAGTGTTAACCCCAAACGCTAAGACAAACCTTTTGACTTGCTGAGACGTCAGTCCCTACTGTAGAGGTACTGCTGATTCCGCCACTGGGCGGCTTGATAGGGTGGTTGGCGACAGCCACGTGCGTTTCTCTGTAACTGAACAGCGGCAACACTTGCTGCGGACAGTTAAAATAAATAAAAATGGGGGCTTCGAGAAAGGAAGTCAAGTCAAAACTGAGAAAACCTACTTGAACCAAGGGCCATGAATGGTCGGACCCGCCCTCGGCCAACGCAGCGCTGCCGGCAGCCCCAGAAGCGGCTGTGGCATTTCCTTGCAGACAGTTTATATGTTATAACCCGAATGCTTCAGTTTTCACTGAAAGCCATCCAGAACACCCCGATATTTCGCTTCACGCGTCTTATCCCAGGCGTTCTTGTCTTGCTAGTCCTTGCACGTGTATCAACGGAGTCACCGCTAAAGAGGGCTTGAAGGTTGATCTTCTGTCTTTTTGCAATGACTCTTGCCCCCATGCTTTTTGAGAAGGTATTAACTCTGCAACTGACTTCGATCCGCCGTCTGCGTGCAACAGGACACTCCAGCAGTTGCCGTGCCCGCGCGAGCTGCGCTAGGTACATGAGTATTCACCCAAATCCTGGCCTTAAGAAAGCGAGATATGGAGCCGCCGAGTAGCCCACTGCAGCCCCTCCCCACAGCCTCCTTCATATGCGAGAGCTGCTCCCGGCATGTAGTCGTTGTGCTGGATAGTAGTGCCCAGCTGTTGAACACACCACTACAAACAGGCAGGCAGCTCAAGAGGGAAGCCTCACTGCCTGCCGGGGCAGAACATCCTTTGCAGCTGCAGTTCCACGACATTGATGAAAGCCAGTTCTATCTAAATAAAGCGGGTGCAACGCTTCCGCCTCCAGATGATGCGGCTGCATCTGCTCCGTTGCAGCAACCGCCGCAGGCAGACCTGCAACAGCTGCAGCCTCCTGCATTTTCAGCCAACGAAAGCAGCAGCTCCTTATCAGCCTCGTGCGCTCCATCACCCTTTGCTGAGGCAGCCGATCCCAGTGGCCCTCCCTTGCCTGGCGAGGAGGGCGCAGAAACGGATTCAGTGATGATGTATCCCCTCTGTGCTGCTTGTTTAGACGCGGATATAGCTGAAGTCGAGCCCTCGACTGCCCACGAGAAGCGGCTTATCCGAAAATATGAAAAGGCGCTGAGAAGGCTCCAGCGGCGGTTCCCTGCGAGAGCCGTACTATCCAAGGAGGAAGCTGAAGCAGAAGCTGCAACAGATGCCGCGGATTCTGCGGTGGTGGAGTTGCGACAGCTGGAGGAAGAGGAAAGAAAATTGGAAGCGGAAATATCTTCAATTGAGGCTTGTACGGCCCAGAAAGAAGTACAAAAACGCGCAATCGTCGCCGAGCTCGCGGAGCTGCACATGTGGCATGTTGAATTTTGGCTGTTGTACACAAACCATTGGCTACGCATGATGCGTCATGGAGAGGTGAACTACTAAGCCCACTTAATGTTTGTGCCACCGTGGCAGAAATGAATGCCATTTTAGCAAGACTGTTCTCTGTACGAAGGATCGAGCAAGGCCAGACACACAGGCGGCTTCGTTTGTACAAGGACGATGACGCACCGATTTGCAGCATTTGTCCTTCATCTATCCATGCCTTGTTTTTCTGGGCCATGCTTATTATGATTACTTCGGAATGTAAAAAAACGTTTGCATTTCCAAATGCAGATTGCTCGTTCTGCTGCTCTGGCGTCCCGTGATATCTCGACGACTCATTCACGGTACTTGCAAATGTGTTCTGTTTCTGTTTTTGCAACACACTGTACGAAACGCTCACTTCTGCAAGTGCCGATTCCTGTGTGCATTTGACCAGCGAAAAAGGGCCATGGAGCGCCTGTTCGTGTACATTGGGTCAGAGCTGCGGCGTTTGAAGCGGTTGAATGTAGTCACGGACGCCTTCCACATATGGACATACAAGTTTTTGCCCTCCATAAACAAATGCAGAATCGGTGAGCTAAAACCTTAAGTGCGGAGAAGCGCGAATCATTGTAGATAGTTGGCGATGTTGATGACTGACACGGACCAAGTCTGCTTCTGCGGGACCACAAGCTGGCAACAGGCACCCGAGAGCGTGAATACTGGGAGGAAGAGGACAGATGCATTTGGGATAGTCGTAGAAACGAAGGGGGCACGGAAGGAGCAACTGGTCACACAAGGAGAAACTGACGGCAAAAAGACAGGCTGAAACTAGGGGAAACAGATTCAGGATAATTAGTAAAAAGGCAAGAACGGACGCATTGAGGGTTACGGCGACGAAACCGAGCTGAACTCTGCACTAACGGGAGTGCTTTGCTGCTTTTTCAGGCCGAATTTCCTCGCCTTCATGCCCATCCTGGGCTGAAGTGAACACTGGCTGGGGTTATTTGTGTATGCTGCTAGACGTCTTCTACCGCAAGTGTCAAGCGCATCCCTCCAACTATCGACTCGTGCCCAGAGGGCAATTCTCCTTCCTTATAAGGCAAGAAAGCGCACAACTCCAAGTTTGGAGTTCAGGTTTGTTGATTAGGCTTTACGGCTTAGGGGTGGAGGGTTGGCATCTGGGATGCTGGTTAGGTTCGGATGCCAACCCTAACGAAGCCAAACAGCGCGTGGTGAATTGAAAGTGAACGTGGGGTACTGTGATTCGAGTGCGTGCATGACTACTTCAGCTATAGCAAGCATTTTGTGGGTTTATGCGGGTGCGCATACACCTATCCCGGTGGTTGGAATGACGTTTCTGTGGCTGTATCCGGCTGTGTGTACATCTTATCGTTTCGGATGGAGTGCGCTCGCTTGTGGTTTCTGTCGAGCAGAAAGGAAGATGGCGTTGTCCTTCCGTTGCACGGCGGTGGGGGGGAAGTTGGACTGAGCCGTTTTTTCTACAGCAACAAGCGGTTTGACTCAGCGATGATGGCGTACCTAGAATGCGTTAAAGAGGTAACTCAGCCAAACTGCAGTTAGAGCTGCTGCGCCTGTTGCTGCTCCTGCTGGTGTTGCAGTTGCCCCCGCTGCCACTGCTGTTGTTATTACTGCTGCTGCTTTCGCATGCAGAGCAAACCTGGGGGATTCATTGGCGTGTTTGTCTGTGCACAATGCGCGTTGCAGCTCTTTGACTTGCTTGTCACTGCAGCGGAGGACCGAAGCAAAGAGAGAGCCATCTGCCCTCTCTTGCCCTTTCCCGAACTTCCATATGAAATCGAGGGTCTGCTGTGCCCAAGCTCTAAACCATAGATCCATAAACGCTTAAACCATAAGCCTTTAGCTCTAAGGGGACGGGCTGAAAACTTTTTAAGACCCGAAGAGAGAAACGCGTTTAGTCGTGTTGTTCTTTGTGAGCAGGCGACCGAGTTGGGGGCTTCAGTATCCGCTTACAGCTAAACCAGGACGAAAGGTGGACCAAGGCACTCAAGCTGCTTCTCATCGACATGAAGTGGCTCCTCGAGTACATCGAGCGTGAGCCGCCGCGAATCCTTAAGCTCGTGCCCATGCAAAGACAGCAGTACTAGCCGGGAACAGGCAAAGACAGACAGCTAGGGAGGGGCAAACCCTCTTTGTCGCAACAAGACCACTATGTTGAGCTCGGTCGTTTGTGTTTAGGCATTTGTTTAGTGACTGGCGCGGCGCCATAAAGCACGTAGTGGGCCGTTTGCTTGGAGTGCAGTACGTGCCGTTTTCCAGCTGCCTCGCGAAGAACATTGCCTCTCTAACGCTTCCTCCAGTGCACTTGCTGAGAAGTACACCGGGGGAAAAGACGTGGCTTGGCCTAAAGCAATACATGCGCGGGAGTGTGTGCATGCATTAGTGCATATTATGCATTCGTAGTCGTCTTGTGTGCGCCAGCGCAGCTGTGCCGTCCGGCGTCTTCGCACGGTGTGAAGAGAGGCCGATGCTGGGCAGCGGTCCGCGCACGTTTTAGAGTCACAGCAGCCCTCCATAGCTGTGTATGTTTTACAGCGCAAACCAGATGCCGTTAGCAGCACTGGACGAAGAGGGCGGAGTGCTGGAGGAGGCAAAGCTGCATGCAACGGCGGGCTGTTTCGCCCGCATTTTCTTCCCGTTAACTAGGAAAAGAAGTTCGTTAATACTCCTCTTACTTCACGGGGCTGTCTTTATGTGTTGTTTAGTACTTCATTTACCAAGCACGACACTCATATGCGTTGCTCAGTGTGTTCTACCCCGTGCCAATGGAAGGAAAAAGGATGGAAGTCTCCTCCTGCGGTTCCTCTGCAGGCATCCCAGGTACCCGCGGGACGCCCCAAGGGACTAAATGGTGACAAACAACTGAGACGGCTTCAAATGCAAAAATTGGTTCTTGTGTGTTGAATCATAAAACGTAGCCCTCAGCGGGCTCTACTTCCCCTGGACTGGAGACAGGAGGCACAGTCTATCTCTCTGCCATTAACATTGGGCGCAAAGCAAACAAGCCGACAGAGAGCGCCCGGAATAAAGGCTAATAACCCCAACTTCCTACAGCGGCAGTTGCATGATGTGCTCAAGTGTGAGGCCGAGCCGTTACGCATTATCTACTGGAAATCACTTTGTGCTTATAGCCCTGTGGATTGTTTGGTTGCTTATTTCTCGATACTTCTGTTACGTTATCCACGTACTCTCCACTGTACCAATCACTGGCTCATCCGTTCGCTTGGCAACTAGCCCTAGCTTCCACAAATGGGCCGCATGATTTGTTTGCACGACAGGGCTTACTGTGATGTCGATGTACAGACACTGTAGAAACGAAAAAGTGCCATGCAGCCACGCCTTTCTCAGCTGTGAGCAGTGCCAGAACAGCAGTCCCCTCCCCGCGGGGCCCCTTGTTCATTTAACAGCTGGCCCGCCGCGACGCCGCCAACAACTGTGCAGAAGAGCCCCGCGTTGAAAGTCATGCACACCAGCATCATGCCCCAGTCAATCGCCACGGCAATGCAGAAAAGGACCCTGCAGTGCAACGCGAACAGGCGACGAATTGCAACGTGTGCACCAATTAACCAAGCCGGCAAAGCGACACCAACTGCGTGAAACTGACAAATGTAATCTAGAACAGCACCAACATATTAGCTTAGAATAACAAAAGTCACGAATCCGTATAGGCGCTGCTGCGATTAAAGTGCAACTTGCGGCGAAAGAACTGCCACAACAGACAACCGGAAACTCCTCTTCACGGCCAGAAGCAAGGGCGCATCGATGCATGACCACCTTCCTGCCACTTCGATCAAGGCAACGCTTCAACAATCCTCAGGCAAGCACTAATATTATAGCGATTTTTGCTTTAATGAAGCACTAGAGAGTGCATCTCGCAAGTTACCAAACTGCCAAAGGCTTCGCCCTCAAACAACAGCTGCTCCCCTCGGCGGGTCCTGCAGCACAAACACAAATACCCCCACTTCTGTTTGAATTCGTTCTACGTCTACCAAGTTTGAAATGAAATAAAGCAGAGGGTAAGGATGGGCTGTACGGACGGCTGGCAGACACCCGGGTCCAGGACCCGGGCTGCAAGTTGTATAGAGACTGTAACCCCCCCGGTTGAAGAAGAGGGGGCGCTGCCGGCCATCTGTCGCTAGCAGCTGTCATGACACTTGGCAAACCGTTCATTTCGCTAGAGCTACCGCTCGCCGTCGCCACAGAACCTTCGGAACAAACCTCCCGCACCACCGGACGCGCAGGCTCCTCAACGTGGGCGCCCCCACGCTGCAAGTCACGGCAAACGGCCTTCAGTTTGGCGCTGCGCAGAAACCAAATGGCATCAAGCCCTATGCGTCTGACCCCAAACCTTCAATCATAAGCCCTTAAGGCAACAATCCAGGAACAGCTTGTACCACACCACACCGGGAGGTGTTCAGGGTGTTCAGGCTCCACACTGCCCCTTAAGGTTAAAAGGAAGTGACAGGGAACATTGAGGCAAATGTATACCAATAAGGTTTATTTCACATGCGCATCCATCACAAACCTGCCGAGGCACAGGGCGAAGATGCAAAGGCACGAAAGGTAAAACTCGAGTGCTGTCGAGGTCTCCCACCACCTGCGGAAGCAGGTCCACAAGTATACTGCACAGTAAACAGCATAAGCTGAAGAGAATCCAGATATTGTAGGGCATAATAGTTAAACGCATGCATGCAGAAAAACTACCGACAGCCCAAGACCAGCAGGGAGAAGGGAAAAGGTCTCACGGAAAGAGAATGGTGGCATCATAGCCCCAGTAAAATGTCATCTGCATCTCCATTTTGAAAGGGCTCACGTGTAACCACTCCCTTTCTCTTTACGACGAAGCTTCGCGAGCACCACTTAATGACTCCTTCCAGAGGCCTCCTGTAGGGCCGAGCTCCCCATGTTTATATGCAGGGCTCTTTCGTCCTAGTCGTCTGCAGACTACCTCGATGCAAAAAATGGGGGAGCAGCCGTTGAAGCGATAATGCTCGTCACAAGGCAAAGACAGCTCTGCGGCTGCCAGTTTGAGTGTCCAATCGGACGGTTAGCGTTACGGGCAAACGTTACACGGAAAACAGAGCAGAAGAAGTACAGAAAATCTAAAAACTTGTTCCTGAGGCATCTGAAATGGACATAGAAATAAGATAAGCCCAACAATATCTGCCTTACCTGCCTCAGCCTGCTCCAGAGGCTATCCGCAGCGGTGAGCCGCGTCCCCTGCGACTGAGGCTCAGCCGCCTCGTGAAGTGATAGTTAGCCAGATAGGAAATCGGTAATATGTTAAAATACACGTGAAATACGGGACAGACAAAAGAGAGCGGCTGCAGCCCCCGTTGCAGCATCGGTTTCACAAATGAGGATGCGGACTCTCAGAAGAAATACATGAGCCTGAGTTGTGCGTACACTTCAGAGGAAAACTGAATAATGCTTGCTCAGATGCCGCAAATACTTGCGGATAGTGCAAATTTTGAATGCATAGCGTACATATTCCCAAGACAACTCCAACTGCCATTGCTCCTCTCCTGCTGTTTATCCGTCTGCCTGCCGGCGGGAAATCGAAGCACGCCTATTCCGCCTGCGCCTTCTGTGCATCTGTTCTTGTTCAGTGTAGAATGCATTTGTTTCCTCCACAAGTTCTACCAAAAACCTGAACACGAAAATCAAACGGCGGATCCCTAGCCTTCCACTGGTCCACCCAAGGCGTCGCGAGCCCCACAACCCCAGGTAGAGCCATTCGGCTGTCTGGGAACTTCTCACCGTCTTCTTCCTTCACTTTACGTACAAGGCGCAAGCTGTTGATTCCATACGCTGCAGAGCAGGCGCCTTCCTGCTCGGCGAAGGCGGGCCGGGAGAGCTCAACAAGGCAGTGACGAGCAACCCTCGGCCCACGGCAGGGACAGCCAAGCAATCGACTAGTGCTGAGTTTCCCAGAGACCTACCCTGGGCCGCACTTTGAAGAGCCTCGCTCTTGCCTCCGCAAAGAGGCCCGAGCGTGGCTCTTGAAGCAACAACCATTCACAATGCAGGCTTCTGCCGGTTCACCCGGCAGTGCTTGCGGCGAGAGCCCTCCGTGTCAAAGTTTTCCAGTGGGAGCTGAAGAAGTTGCGTCTTGCGCGTGGGATGAGGCTGAGCTGGTGGGGACTGTTCCAGGTGGCGCCTTACCAGAATCGGTCGCAGGAGCTGCTGCTGCTGAGACTGCGGAGGATATGGGAGATGGCATGTGTGGATGGGAGTGCGTCGAAGACACGAGCAGCGATATGAGCGAGCCATGGTTAGAGGACGGCGATTCGGCGGCAGCAGACGTGATAACTTCCGCATGTGCGGATTGGTGCGCGCACGAGGCTGCCGGCGAAGCAGAGGCTGATCCACTCGCCTCTTTCTTTGCCCAGCTCGTTTCCTCGCATTCGGTGGGTATCTTGATCCTTACATTAAATCCTCGATAGAACGACTGGCCTTGGGGTTCTGAATGCACTGTGCAGTGTATAGAGAGCTGCACCATTAGTAGCCCATTGACCCGTAGGTGGAGTAGTTGGAATCGCATTCTCGAAAAACACCGTATACGGGCATATGCACACGTGCAGGCATTCAAACGCGCCAGTATGTATGCATGCAGTGGTGTGGTGTGCTTTTCAGCTAGCCGAGCTAGCAGGGGAAAGTACGGAGGGCCCTTCTGACCCGCCGGATATGCAAGCGAGGCCTTCTGAGCATACCCACAATGCAAGCCTCACATTAGAGGACGATTGCCCCGAAGGAGAGTCCTCCGACTCTGCCGAGCTGACAGCAGAGGGGGACAATGCCGAGGAGCCGCACACAAAGCCCAGGCACGAAGCTTGTCGAGCGGACAGCGGTTTACGACGCGTGCAGACACTCTGTATGGGGAAGACAGTTGCTGATACTATCGATCCTGAGTTGCGTGCGTATTTCGCCGCCTCCCTAAAAAGTGAGTTGCTGTTGTTGGTTGTTTGATAGTTAGTCTGCAGGGAAGGGCTGCTGCCGCTTTCTCACTCGGTGTTGCCAGTGGTCTTTCCATATCTCGATCTTCCTCGCGCAGCGCGTGATTTGCTTCCCTCGCAGCACAAGCTACCAGTGGACCGGCAGTGTCGCTAGCAGCGGTTGTAGCAGCAAGCACAGCAGGTGGGCGGAGTCATGCTTGGTAGTTGGTGTTTGTGCCTTGTGTAGGAAATAACTTTCCTCACATCCTTGGCAGTCTGCGAGCGGCCATCTTGAGAAGTCCCGAAGTTTTCGGATTTTATGGCGATGGCTCCATCGAGGCCGAGGCATCAGCTGGGAGGCCTTTTGGGGCGCTGCATACTGCGTGCAGTGGGGCCTGTCTCTCGGATAGGCAGGGAAGGGGTGCAGGAGTGGATCTTCAGGAGCAGCAGCAGCAGCAGCAATACCGGCTCACGGGTGTCAATGATGCGATGCACGTAGCAGAAGAAATGGAGAAGAGGACGGATGGCTACCTTTTCTTGGGCGAGAGGGACGGGGCTGAGGGGCTGTTGCCGCCGGCAGTGTCTGTGTCCGGTGACTTTTGCAGAGTTAATCCACGCGTTGCTGTTCGTTGGTTGGCGCAGACGCAGATGGAAAGTATGTTGGAGGGTGGGCATCCGCAGCAGCAGCTGAAGGAACAACAACAGCAGCGAAAGATTGGGGAGAGGCTCTGTGAGCGGCTTGTGGGGACCTCATGGGCTCAGCTGGCGTGCCTGGTGCCCCCCAAGGCTCTCTGCAGCAAACCAGCAGCAATTGCAAATCCTGCACGGGAGGAAATGCAACTGGCAGCGGCGCAGCTTGCGAAGGGTCTTAACAATGAACAAATGCACGCCTTGAAACGCCTCCTTCAGGCCTGGTATTTCTCAGGGTTCTTCGCGGGCCAATTACACACGACTGCCAGCGGCAGTTGACTTCAGCTCGTCGCGCACCCAGGGACGGGGAAAAGGCAATATAATTTGCATGGACAAGGACGTACTCTTCCCCGTAAAAGGAAACTGGCATTACGGGTTTTGCTCCAGGTTTCCGCCTCGTACTCACTGCCCGTATGCGTTCTCGTGATTCTGCGGATTGTATGCTTCTTGCGTTTTGTTTACGGTATTCATGCATGATTCCTCTATTGTGCATATTCATCGGGTGAGCAGATGTTTCATTTGTTGTTCAATTCGCATCGCCAAACAGTTTCGGCCCGCCTAGGCATTTGCTAAGGGCCCTGCCTCCCTTATTTAACCATGTGGAGCGCTCCCTGTTCTTGTTCTGCACTTGGGCAGTTTTTAAATAATTCTGTCCAAAGGTTTGTTTTCGTTTCTAATTCGTCCTCGCTATGTTCAGTGCAGTTGCTGCATATACAGCTTAGATTTCCCCACTAACAACCGTCTTTCTCCGGTGCCGCCTACGGCTTTGGGCACGCGGCTTCGGAATTACACAAACATGGGATAATAATGTGAGCAAAGGAAGAATACTGGTCGGGCGGCGGCACAGCCTTCTTTGTCTTCTAACACTGGACCCCAAAATTTGCATGGACAGCTCAGCTGGCGCACCCAAACTACCTGAGAGTGCACACTTCGCATGTGTAGGCATGCACAGTCTAGCGTAGTCTGCCAAAGGCGGGCAAAATGTAACTGCTTATATGGCTACTGAAACGCACGAAGGTGTATTAAAATGGTCTGCGCTGTTGGTGCATGCGTCGAAACAGGTCATGAGTATGCCTGCAGGAGGAGGCGCAGAACTCCTCTTGCCTGCACTAGAAAGAATGCTGCAACTAATACCGCGCTGCCTCATCCCCGCACGTGCGAGCTCTGCATCGCTCTGCGCAGGACGCCTGTGGGCTGGACAAGGATTCAGCTGCCCCAGCTGAAGCGCACAACGGCCAACGATTAAGGCAGGAAACTCTCGTAGCATGCGGTGGCATCCGATGCCTGAGAGGGGCAGGCGAAAGCTGCGAAGGAAACTCGAACGTGGGGAGGCCTAACTATAGCACTTCTTTTAATTTTGAAGGCGATCGTATCATCTGCCTAAATGCTTGCCCAAAGTTCTGTCTTTTCCCCTCAACAGTAATGGTGATGCTCCCGTGTATTTCGGCGCCCAACTGGGGATAGGTTCGCTGAGGGAGGAGGAAAAGGTCGCGACAGGCTCCAGAGGGAAATGGAAAATTCGAAACCGGAATAAGCAGCATGCGGCATCTGCCGATGCTGCTTAATTTTTCTCCTTTGCGGACTCGCACTTCGCTGCTGCAGCCTAGACCTGCCCACTGCTCAGTAAGGCGTTATGAGCCTTGCGCCTGGGATAGGAACCTCTGTTGCGACCGTGACCCAAACAATAATCTAAAATGAGCCATCACCGGAAGCGGAATGTCAAGACGCGTGTGAAGCGGGGACGCCGCTTCCCCCAGAAATGGCCTCAACACCACAATATGAAAGGAATAAAGGTGTTGTCGGCGGGGCCGCCGAGCTAACCTTAGACAGAGGCAGGAGAGCACATCACAAAGAATATATTCAGCTCCGAAGAACACTTACATATTATGGGTCCCTCTGTCCACGTGACAGAACAAATGCCTGCAAAAGTGTTTTTCGGAGAATGTTGGAGTTCCATTATGATTACTCAATAGCTGGGCCATTCTTCCTGGTGTAACTGAGCTCGAACGGGGAATTATTAATAAATTTTGCATACTTCATTTAGTGTTTAGCCTATCCACAGTGCGTATGTGTTATCACAGCCTCCGACTGCGGGGAAGTGCATGAAGCCTATTGGCATGCCCATCCAGACCCTTGACAAATCGTAGGAGTGCAGTAGTCTGAGTTTCATACTTTTCCTCGGCTCTAAATGAGGACAGTCCAAACACGTGAGGGTATTTAACTCGGCTGTCGGGGGGGGGGGGGGGGGGGGGGG